GAAAATTCTTCTAATAGTGTTCTAAATTTTTGTCCTTGTTCTGGTTGTAAGAGTCCAATATTTACAGCTGTTTCAGAAGTTAGGGTGTATTCTTTATAAGGAATACAGGTCTCAATAAAACACACCATTTGGGGTATAAGGTTGCTAGGATTTGTCTCAGGTTTGTCTGGGTCATCAGGTAGTTTTTTATCTTGCCTGAGATTCACTAAAAATTTTGAGGTCTTAAAAGAGTTTCAAAGGCATTTTCTTGTTGCCTTATATGTTAAAAATGGTTTTGAAAGAATTGTAGGATTTGTGCATTGGTGTCTTGCAGAGATTGAACCTATGTTTGCAATTGTTGAATAAGTTGAGCTTGTTGATCAAATTGGAGTTGCATCTTGGTAAGAGGTTCAATATGAATCAAGTCTGGTTCTGAAGTAAGTTCAGTGTTTGGTGAATATGCTAATGCAGTATCACAATCACTACAGTATCCTTCATGTTGGTCTAATTCTTCCTGATACTTTACATGTAAGCATTCTTTACAAAGGTCAACAGGGGTACTAAAATTGTAATGTAAGGTAGCAAGAGCAAATTGTCAATTATATTCAGGATGGCTAGTATCAAAGGACTCATCTAACATTTGTTGAAAAAGAAATTCATCATCCTCTTCAAGGGTTTCTTGTTCTCCTCGTAATACTAGTTCCATGTCATCATTAGACCAGGGTTGGCTAAAATGATCACCAACTTGAGGTTTAAGAGCTTCAATAATAGTCTGGTCACTTTCTCGAAGAAGAACAGCAGCAAGATGATATATACAAGTCTGGTTCAAGTCATATTGAGATCTAGTACTTTGATTAGATTCTGTGTAATGTCTGATTCTTGTTCATAAGTTGTAGTTCGGATTATAAAGAACATTTTGACTAGCTTTATGAGCATATAAGTGTTCAAGTTCACAAAACCAAAGTTCTTCACTAAGGCTTTCTAGTTGGTACATTCGAGAACGAGGTTCTGCTTTTTGATATACTTAATATTCTACAAGTAATCCACAACCTTCCCCTTGTGTATAAAACTGAATACTTTGAGAGTTTTCTCAATCAAGAGCATAGTGAAAGTCAAAATAGTAAGCATGACAGAAGAGTTGGTTGTTAAGAGCTTTTAGAGATTCAGGTCTTTCTGGGACATGGCATTGGCAACAGTGATAAGTACATCTATGACTATAATGGGGTAGTCTTTGGGATTCTACTATTTCAGAATTACAGCCACACTTATATGAATAGTTTTGCTTCTGAAGGTTAGCCAAAGAACAATCTATACTAATATGTCTATAACTATTGCATAAGTTACAAATTTTTTGTAGACAGGCTCTATAGAGATGGTCAGATTGGTTGCAAGTGTGACAGCTGGCTCTTTTTAGTGGTTGTTGAGAGCAGTGAGTAGTGATATGTCCAGGTTGTTGGCAATGATTACAAAGGTTAGTAGGACATTGTGCAAAAAGATGATTTGGGGATCCACAGTTTCCACACACACAGGCTTTAGGTTGTTTGGTTCTATGCTTGGGTTGGTAAACAGTCCATTCTTCTGAACTATTGCTAGAGGATAGTTTAGCAGGTTCAGCATCAAGAGCATATGCTTCCAGAGGTATAAGATATTCCTGTTCATATAGCTCAAGCTCATCAGGGTCAGTAACAATAGGTTGAGCTGGAAGTGGTTAGTCATTTTCATAGGTAGTAGGAATGGCATGCTTTTTACCTTTCCACTTAAAGGAATAGCATCTATTTTTTCAGTTATAACTAGTTTCAACTTTTTTGGACCAGTCATTGCCAAGAAGAATAGAATATGAAGTAACGTCTACTACTTCAACAGTAACAGTGATAGTAATTTGGTCTATAGTAATAGGTAAATCTTGAATGACTCCTAGAGGTCTAGTAGAATTACCAGTAGCTGACATGATAAGACTAGAAGTAGCTTGTTCGATTTTTAATCCTAATTCTTTAACTATCTTGTAAGCAATCATGCTTACAGAAGCACCACTGTCAATAATAGCTTGGTAGGGTCTGTTTCTGAGTTGAATATTGCATTTAACAGATGTAGTATGGGTAGAGAATGTAATAATATTGGCATTCTTAGCTTCTTCATTTAAATGTGCAGAAAGTGCAGTATGGATAGAAGGATTGGCTAACAAGGTTTCCTATTTTTGCAAACTAATTGAAGAAGAAGAAGAAGGAGGTGTCTGATTTTGATTAAGATAGTGAACATTATGATAGTATGGGGAAGGAGATCAATTGGAGGGGTATCTAGAGTGTTCAGAGCTTCTATTTCTTTGATAATTTGATGAATGGAAGTTTTGTTCACGAGATTGGCTTTTATTTTGAGGATAATCTCGACTTCTGGATCGAGAATAATTACATCGATTGTCTCGGGTAGGTCTTCGATTATAGGAGCCTTGTCTTCGTTCTCTATCACTCTTTTTAGTAATGCAATTAGAAATAAAATATCTAGTATGTTCACAATAAAAACAAGTAGGTGGTTGTTTAAGTCAAGGTGCTTGGGTAGGGGCTTCAGCATAGTTTACAGAAGTGGTAAGAGCAGGTTGTTGTTGCTGAGCTAGGTTAATACTAAGTTGAGCAATTTGGTCAG